ACCAGGTAGGCTACTGACCTTCTGACAATGGGTCAGAAGGAGGATCATCTGCTTCCAGACTGTGGTTGACCATGGTAACTGAAACCACTGAAAGCAATGGCACAGACAAGGGGGATTACCATTCATTAAATGAGACTTAATGGACATATCAACCAACTACCTCACACCAGTCAGAATGGCTAAAATTAAGAAGTTAGAAAACGATAGATATTACGAGGATATAGAGAAAAGGGAACCCTCCTACACTGTTGGTGGAATACAGGCTGGTGCAGCCACTCTGAAAAACTGTATGGAGGTTCCTCAAAAAGTTGACTATAGAGCTACCCTACAACCCAGCAACTGTACTACTGGGTATTTACCCCAAAGATACAAATGTAGTGATTGGAAGGGGCATGTGCACCCCAATGTTTATAGCAGTAATGTCCACAATAGCTAGAAAAACTATGGAAAGAACCCAGATGTCTATCCATCAACAGATGAAAGGATAAAGAGAAGGTGGCGTGCGCACATGTGCGTGCACACTCACACGGAATATTACACAGCCATCAAAAATGTAATCTTGCCACTTGCAATGACGTGGACAGAACTAGATGGTATTATGCTAAGCGAAATAAGTCAATCAGAGAATGACAATTATATGATCTCTCTGATATGTGTAATTTAAGAAACAAGGCAGAGGTTCCTAGAAGAGAGGAAAAAAATTAAAAAAAAAACCAGAGAGGGAGACAAACTGTAACAGACTCTTCATAAGAAACAGGGGCAGCTGGGTGGCTCAGTCAGTTAAGTGTCTGCCTTTGGGTCAGGTCATGATCCCAGGGTCCTGGGATCGAGCCCCACTTCGGGCTCTCTGCTCAGCGCAGAGCCTGCTTCTCCCTCTGCCTGCTGTTCCCTCTGCTTGCGCGCGCTCTCTCTCTCTCAAATAAATAAATAAAATACTTAGAAAAAAAAATCGTAAGAAACAAACTGAGGGTGGCTGGAGGGGAGGAGGGATGGGGTAACTAGGTGACGGACATTAAGGAGGGCACGTGATGTAATAAGCACTCGGTATTATATAAGACTGATGAATCACAGGCCTGTACCTCTGAAACCAATAATACATTATATGTTAATTAAAATTTTACAAATGTTTAAAAAGACATATCAATCTCTGTATCAATCATCTATCTATATCTGTAATCTTATTTGACTCCCAATTCAAGCAAGCAAACTGTGTGTGTGCACGACAATCAGGGAAATGTGAATACTAATTATAATACTAATAATAAGAAATTATTTTATAATATATAGCTCTAATATTAAGGAATTAATTGGGTTTTCGGTATGATAACGATTCTAAGAAATTTTCAGAATTATCTCTTTTAGAGATACATGCTGAAATATTTACAAATGAAATGGCATGATGTCCAGAATTTGTAGCTAACCCTTGAACAAGGGGTTGGGGAACCAGTCCCCTACACATTCAAAAATCTACTTACATACTAACTTATGACTCCCCCAAAACTTAATTACTAATAGCCTCCTGTTACTGGAAGCCTTACCAGTAACATAAATAGTGACTAACACACACTGTAAAGTAAGCTAGAGAAAAGAAAATATTAAGAAAATCCATTTACAGTACTGTGCTATATTTGCCAAAGGAAATCTATGTATAAGTGGACCTATACAGTTCAAACCCATGTTACTCGAGGGTCGACTGTATTTTTAAATACAGGGGTGGGGAGAGAGGAGGAAGTAGATGGGGTGCACATAAAACAAGTTTGGCCATGAGATGATAACTGCTGAAACTGGTGATGGCTACACAAGATAGCATTGTGCTATTTTACTTTTGCATGTGACATTTTCCATAATAAAAATCTAAAAATAAGAACAGCAAAAAAAATCAACCTGAAGTGGCTCCTACTGGACAAGGATGGGACAATATGAACATCAAGAAGAAAAATGACTCCGACAGAGTTACCAAAATACATTTAAACAGTTAAGTTTACAATAAATACAAATTAAAACCAGTAATACAAATTAAAACCTTACTGGTCACCTTTAAAGGTTACAAGGCAACTGCTTCATTCTGAAAGCTGGTCAATAAAGGAAAAGAATGAAGCATTTATCCTATTTTTTCTGTACTGGCTGTATTTCAAAGGAACCAAATAGTTGATATGGGAAAATTCTTTTTAGAATTCCAATAAACAAATGGAGAAGGAATGGAAGAATTAGGAAATTATCATTTTGCAACCCTTGATAGAGCTAGGCAATGTGATTAAGAGCTGTTAAAACTGGGGTGCCTGTGTGGCTCAGACAGTTAAGTGTCTGACTCTTGATTTTGGCTCAGGTCATGATCTCAGGGTCCTAAGATTGAGCCCAACATGAGGCTCTGTGCTCAGTGAGGGGTCTTCTTGGGATTCTCTTCTCTCCCTGTCCTGCTGACCGTTCCCACCCGCCCCCCCCAACTCAGCTCACACATGCATGCTCTCTCTCAAAGAAATAAAAAAAATAATAATAATAACTTAAAAAAAAACAAAACCAACTGCTAAAACCAGCTTGTAAAAAAGCTGACAGGGAACTTCATAAAAATTGACGGGCTAAAAAAAAATTGACGGGCTAACAACACCTGAACCTGGTGATCATAATTTTTCTCTTAACTTTATATTATGTATATTTTCAACAGACACAAAAAAGCAGAGAATACAATACCCCCCCATGTATGTACTTATTACCCAGCTTCAAAAATTATCAACTCATGGCCAATACTCTGCCATCTATACTCAATTCTTTTCTATCTTCAATTACTCTAAAGCAAATCTCAGACATACCACATCATCCACAAATACTTCAGTGTGTATCTCTAAAATGGTTTCTGAATCTCAGCACTACTGACATTTTGGACCAGATGACTCATTGTTGTGAGGCTGTCCTTTGTGCACTGTAAGAGGTTTAGCAGCATCCCTTCAATCTACCTACGAGACACTGTCAGTTAACCAATTATGACAAGTGGATGTTGCAAGTGTCTACAGACATTACCAAATGTCCCCTGGGGAGGCAAAACCCATGCACCACTGAGAACCACTGTTATAAAAGATAATACTTAAAAAATAAAGCCCCAATACCATCATCTCGCCTAAAAATATTAACAGCAATTTCTGAACATCATAAATTCTTTGGTCAGTGTTCAAATTATCCTGATTGTTTTATAAAAAAAAAAAAACCAAAACAATACAAAACTTCACAGGTTTTTCAAAGCACGTTTCAAATAAGGTACACACATTGCAACTGGCTGATCTATCTCTTAAGTCTCATTTAATGGATAAATTCCCCTTCCTCTTTGCAATGTATTCACAGAAATGCCACATATTCCAGTTGATTCATTTGTCTCTTACAGTCAATAAAAATTTTCCCTCTCTGTTTAATGTCTTTCTTCTCATTTATCCATGGAAGAGACCAGGCCCATAGTTTCCCACCGTTTGGATGTAGCTAACTCCATCCATCCCTGTGTTTTAATTTAACATGTTCCTCTGGCACTGATGTTTCATATAATTGGTGGCTATAAAAGCTTAATCAGATCCCTACTTGAGTTTTTGGTAAGAATATTTCACAGGTAATGCTGAACACTGACCAAACTTAATACAAAGATCATGAAATGACATTCAATGTCAACTTATGCAATGCAAAAGAAAGTTCACAAGTAGACAGCACTACTTATGATGTATTCCTGCCAAGAATAAACAAAAAATGAACCAAATCCAATCACACCCTAGATTTAAGTACCAGTTCACAGGAAATACAGGGAATGGATGAACATGTTAAATAACATCATAGGACATAAGCCAAATTCAGAATGTAGAAAATTATACATGACCAATGACCCAGTTTCTTCCATAAATAGGTATAAAAAATAAAATGATATAAGAAAATGGTACAGACTAGAAGAGACCACTTTTAATATATGAACCTCCCTTGAATCCTGATTTAGATACACAGACTATGTTTTTTTTTAATGGTATTTATGGGATATTTGTGCAAATCTAAACATGTACTGAATATTAGGTGATATTGCAGTTAGTCTTCAAATTTTCTTGGTATATGATTACGTTTTTTAAAATGTCCTTCTTTCTAGAGGTATATGTGGAGGTAATTATGAATGAAATGTTACCCGGAATTTGATTTAAAATATGCCAATGTGAAAGGGAAGGGTATAGAAAACAAGATACCATATGTTGCTAATTGTTGAAGCTGTATGATGGGTACTAAGGTTCATTATTCTATTTCTGTGTATGTCTGAAATTTTCCATGATAAAGATTTCTTTAAAAAATCAAGTCGCCCAGCTATAAGGATGGATGGGAAAGCATCAGGATGTGTTTAGGAGGTTCCTGCAATAGGCTGTGTGAGAGGTGAAATGGCCTGTACTAGAGAGAGGAAACAAATAAAGTAGATATTTCAACAGATATTTAGGAAGTATAATGGATAGGGCTTGGTAACTCAACGAATATGCCAAGTGAGAGAGGGAGTCAAGGACAAGGCACAGATTTCTGGTTTGAATATGTGGCTGGCACCAAGGACAAAGGGCAGATTTGCAGAAGGCTGGGGTTTAAGGTACCTGTGTAGCATAGCACACATGGCAGCTGAGGCCAAGGGGGTAAAAAAGATACCCCGGATGCGAGAATGCAAAAAGTGAGAAGGGAGGAGCACCTGGGATAGAGAGCGAGGAACACCCAAGGCCCATCTGCTCACTGTGAAGGAGGTCTTTCGTGTGTGCACCTGGGCTGGGATGTGTACATGCGTGGAAGGGGAAGACTGGCAGTAGGCAGGGACGGGGGCAACTGATGGTGGTGATGGAAGATGTACCTGTGTCTGTGTGCATAGTGGGGGAGACCCTAAACCACAAGTCCCTCCCTTCCTCGCCAGCCCGCCCCGCTTCCCAGCCATGGTCACCACGGGGCACTCGGGTGGACTGACTCTCCCTTTGAACAGCTGGGAGGATGTCACCGCCCTCGTGGCTGATCCTCACCTTCAGATCTTCACACAGGTCACCGTAGTCAATCTCAATCAGGGCCTCTCGTGCATAGATGCTGGAAGTTCGCTGGGAACCACTCACAGAATCCTCCCCCTGGGAGCTACCCTGCAATGGTGAGAGGGAGAGTCCAATGAAGCACACTGGCCACAGAATGCCCTCTAACGGGGGGGGGGGGGGGGGGGGGGTGTGGGTGTGTGTGTGTGTGTGTGTGTGTGTGTGTGTGTGTGGCTTGCCAGCCTTCAAAGTCTTTGCAAAGCACCTTACTAAAGCACCTGTGGCAGGACAGCAGCTCAGAAGACACAAAGACCTCAGTTCAAAATTAGGCTCTACCACTAAAAGTGTGATCCTTGGCAAGTCATGCCATCAGATCCTGACACCAGAAGCCTGATTTAAATACATAAACCCTCAACTGTAACATGGGATACTACCTGCCTGGCAGGGTTGTGTTTAGGATTAGGAGTAATTATGTCACATGTTACCATGGTGCCTGGCACATTTCTGGTGTTCAAAATATTTTGCTGAATTAAACTGAAATGCTGTTTGGAAAGAGGGAGGGAGAAAGACATGTGGGGCTGAGATACATATCCAGGTCTAAGCCAGATATTTGCAAACCTCCCCTCAGTTAATGTTCCCATCCCTTCCTACCAATCTTCACCTTTAATGCATAAAATGCCTTGGCTTCTCTATTGGCTAGTGTCCCTCTCTTTCCTGTGACTAAGCCTTGTCACCTCTTCATTGCTGATGTCCCTTATCCAACCCTCTCCTGGCCAACCTCCCTCACTGCAGCTCAGCCATCATCTCTCAGGTCCCCCAGGTTCCATCTTCCTTTGCTCTTGGCTAATGTCCCTCAACTGCCACTCTTAGCAATATCCAACATCTGCTGGAGCTTTTAGCTCAAGTCCCTAAGGTTACAGAATGATTCCATCTTTTCCTGGCTTCCCTCCCTTACCACCTACCAATATCCAGCACTACCCCCCAAGTTAACTTCCCTTTCATACCAAGGCTACTACCTTTCCCCTACCTGCCTTCATAGCCTCAACTTGCCTCATCACCCCTGCATCCCTCCTTATGTCCCACCACCCCTGCCCACCATCCTTTTCTCTCCCTCTTCCCCTCCCTGGTTACTTTCACCCCCATCCCTGGTTAATGCTATTTATTGCCCACTCCCACCACCAGCCCTAATCTGATACTCACCTCCTCCTGACTAATGTCATCCATGGTGCCCTTAGACAGTGGCAACTTGATATCCTGCATCTTGCAAGCCTGCAGCAGGTTGTGGCGGTCACTGCGTTTCTGTTCCAGCTTGGTCTCAATGGCCGTTACCTCCTTCTGTAAATGGGTCATTTCCCTAAAAGGTCCAGGTAGAGAGGTGAGATCCAAATCCAGCAGGCTGCCTGCTCTACCTATGTCCCCCAAACCCAGGCCTGAACCCACTCACTTGTTGGCGCCCCCCAGTTTCTTACGAATCTCCTCCATCTCATGATTCTTGTCATTCACCTCCGACTTCTTGGCCAGGTGCTGATTCTTCAGGTCTTGTAGCTGGGCCATGGTCTCATCTATGATCTTCATGTGTCTTTGTTCCTCCTGGTCCCAGCAGGGGGAACAGGATAAGAAGTGAACGTTTTCCTCATCTCCTCTAAGGATCTTCTCCCCTTGCCCCCACCCTCTCCACCAGGCAGAAGGAGCCTCCAAGGCATGTCAGAGCCTCTCCTCACGAAGCTCTGCTTTCACATACCACCATCACCCTTTAGGTGTCTCTATCTTTTTTCAAATTTGGTTGCCCTCTCTCCCATACCCCATTATACAAGTTGCCTGAAGTAGAAAAGTGCAAAGAACTGAAACAGTATCAAGCAGAAGAAAAAAAAAATCACTGGTAATCTCACCAGCCAGAGACAACCAATTAACATTTTAGCCTATTTCTTCTTAATACTACTTATATAGACAGCTCTACAGAGTTGAGACTAGACTGTGATTAATACTGTATTTTCTGACTTAATGTTATATTTGAGCATCTTTTCCACATTAAAATTGCTGTCACGGGCAATATAACATTAGTGTTTAAAAAAAAAAAAAACCCCACACAAACAACACTAAGTATTTCTATGAGTACGTCGACATGAATGTATAAATATTTAAGTAAATACTTATAAGGTCTGGAAGAATACCCACTACATGGGATTAGCTCCAGGAAGAGGAAAGGGAGTGGCATTAAGAATGGCCAGTCAAGGGGAGTGCAGTCTTGGCACATCTGATTTTTTTAAAGGAAGAATATTTGGTTTTCACTTTGATCTCAAAGTCACTTGAAGGGAACATCTCTGCCACTTCCTCCCAAATGGCTCATAAAAATAATATGCATACATAGACAACACAGAAGCAGATAGGGCATGTTAGTGATTGATGAATCTCAGTGGCAGGTAGGTGGGAGTTCTCGATAGGAGTCTTGCCACTTTCTGCTAAGTTTCAAATGATTTCAAAATAAAAAGTCAAAAAGTCATAGAAATAGTATTCTGGATCATCTAGCTGCCCACTTATTCCTGCCTGATCTACATTTGCATTTAAGATTCCAGTGACAGCACAAAGGACTACTTTAAATATCAGGGTTTAATGAAAACAAACACATGCGCGTGCACACACACTCCCCCGCCCCAAACATTGAACGCAGGCAGACATAAAAGTCAAATGATATGTTTAAGCCAAGTGAGGAGGATCAAATCACCTCTGGAGAGGATGCTGTAAGAACAAAGGTTTCACAGTAATTTAAAGAGAAAGAATATGGGAAAAGTGGGTCGTCAAACAATACCCAGTGACACAAGCAAGCTCAGCTCAAACTGAAACTTGGCTGTCACCAGCACAGGCAAAATGTGGAAAGGGACTCGGTTTCAGCAAAATACCATCATCTGTTGCACTAAAATTAATGTGGTTAATTATAAAAATTAATTAGTAAGTTTGTCCTGGCTTTTTGGTGAAGTACTCTAAGTATGTATGTTTGTATGTATTTTAATGTCAAGGATTTTTTAGGCCAACACTGAAGATCTTAGGTCTTTAAACAGGGTCTGTGTATTACTAAAATGTGAAGACCACTAAACTACACAAATGCATACATGAATGTAGCATAATTTGCTAAACTCCTAATTCCCAGAGGACACTGGACAGTTTCCAATACGGAACTATAAATGTTTGTAATAAACATCAACCTCCATGCACGAAGCTGTGCCAGCATTTTGGATTTCCTCAGGTTTTACTAAGAGGGGATAAATATATCCTGAAGACTCTTCATGGATTGTGCCATATGGCATAAGAATGCTGGTCTTGTGCACCATGGCCAGTATTAATCATCTGGTTTTTTGTTTTGTGTTTTAAATCTTAGGTGATGTGATAGGAAACAAATTATAACAGATTGTTACTTTAATTTGCATTTCTTTGACTTCCAGTAAGGCTAAATTACGTGTATGTGTTTACGGGCTATTTGAATCATCTTGAACTGTTTGTGCCTCTTAATTTTCTTTTCCTATTTAGGTCTTCGTGTTTCCTTATTTCAATGGGGCTTCATAAATTATGGATATTATCCTTCTGTCTATCGTATCCCTTCCAATTTTTCCACCCAGTTTTTAGTATGTCTTTTCATGCTCTCCTTCCTTACCTTCTTGAGCTTTTCTATCTCATTTTCATCCTTTTTCACTGTCTGCTCCCACATGTGTACTTTATCCTGGTCCTCTTTCAGTTGGTTCTTTTCAAAATCCAACTGTATGCCCAAGCGAGTCTTCTGATTCTCAAACTCCAAACTGTGGGGAGAAAGGAGAACTAGATCCAAGACCCAGGGATTCGGTTAACTACTGAATTTCAGTCACCATTCAGTTTATCCCTCCACAGCCACATAAAACTGTTCCCTGAAGTTGGAGAACTAAGTCTCTCAGCCTAGCCTTGTGGATATGGCACAAGGCAGAGAGATCGAGCCAAACTCCACTAATCCCCCTTTATACACTGGAAGACTCCAGAGCCCTGCCAAGTTCCTAGGAGGCACAAAAATGTCCACCTGAACCCACCAGCTATGGTAATTCCTTTTTATTAAGTTTCTGTGTATTTTACATAATTACCTCTAATCCTCTAATAGCTCCACAAGAAAGCATTATTATTCCAATTTTATGAATGAGGAAACATGGGCCAAGAGGTAAAAGACCTTGCCCAATGGCACACAGCTAGTAAATGGGCACATGTGAGATCGGAAGCCAGGTCTAACACTAAAATCCAAGCTCCTTCTCCCACGGCACCATCGCAATATAATGTGGTAGGAAAAGAGGTCTGGCATCCAAACCCTGCCATTTACTAGTAGTGTAATCTCAGCCAAGCTAGTTATACTCTCCACACCTCTATCTCCTCACGTGTAAAATGGAAATAAGAATAGTATTTACCTTGGGAGTTATCGGGAGATTTTTAAAGAATTAATATGCATCAAATCCTTAGAAGCATACCAGACACACAGTAAGTACTTAATAAATTTTAGTTACTATCATTATTGACGGGTATACTGGCTGCATTCTGCTCATATTTGCTCATGGGCTTTGACTCTTTCCAACTACCACCTCCCAACACACCCGTATTCCAGAACCTTCAAGGAGCAGAGTTTGGGTAGTTTAAAAAAAAAAAAAAAAAATGGAGAAAATATGACATTCCTGCCACTGCCCTGCTCCCCGTCTCTTCAGAAAGTCAAAGAGTATGTAACCAGCATCCAGATACTAGCAGGCCAGGAAGGGCTAATTTCCAACTGCCTCCTCACTCCCCCAGTATGGTGTGACAGCTGCTGCCAGATGTCATGCTAGCAGCTTAAACCCATTAGTCACTATAATCCAAATGGAATGTAATTAACTCCATTAATTTTGAGCTATGCAATTTTAAGTCCAATCTCCTAAGCATGACTCATAAAGCCCTCTGTGATCTGGCCCCTACTGACCTGTCCACCACCCCCGCCTTCCTCCTGACCCCATTTTCATGCTCCGGACATTCAAAACTACTTAGTTTCCAGTACAAGGCACACTCTCTCACACCTCTGAGCATGCTATTCTCACTGCCTGAACTCCCTTCTGTCGGCTGCCCTGCTGGCTAAGTCCTACTCACTCTACAGGCATCTAGATCATCACTCCTTGTTCTGTAAAAGCTTTCCTGACAGTTGTGAGCAGGTTCTTTGTTTCTATTACACTTTTCTGGGCTTTCTCCCCTTTGGATGCAGTTAATTATATCCCACAGTTCATTACATGAAGATGTTCACTCTCTGTGCAAGACCCTTCTCTCCTGTGGCTCAATCCCTTATTTCCACGCCCATTATCTTCCCTATTTTGAGTATGTACTCCAAAATGACAAACGTGTATACGTACACACATATGTATATAGCCTTAAGAATGCATATCCCTGTAAAATATGCTTGTTTTTAAATTTACACAAATGCAGTGTTACACATTTACCCATGTTACTGCCTATAAATCCAGTTCCTGCTTTGAACTGCTATACAGTATTGTATATAGTCTGTATATTCATCACATTTAACTTATATTTTCCCCAAGTGATGGCTGTCCACACTGCCACCAACATCCTATTACCACAAATGAAGCCAAGACAGACAAGCCTGAATGTGTCTCTTTGTAACCCTGTGGCCAGACTCTCTCTGAGATATATACCCAGGAGTAGCTTTGCTAAGTCACAGAGCTTACGTAGATTTATTTTCATGAAATACTGCTAGACTGTTTTAATTTGTAGTTCTCTGATTAAGAACAAGACTGAACATCAATTTGTAGTTATCAGCCATGCGTGCTTCTCTTCCCGTGAAGTGCTAACTACATCCTCTGTCCATTTCTCTACTGGGTCTCTTGGTTTTTATTTTTCCTCTTGATTTGGAGTTCTTTGAACATTTTCTCTGTACTTCCTATGTACCTCAAATACACCATCAAGGACACTATTCTGAAATTGCTGACCTACTTGTTTGTCTCCCCAATTATTTCATAACTCCCTGAGGACAGGGACAGTCTCCGATTCCATTCTATATCCCTTGAGCCTAGCTTAGGGGTAAGAAGGCAATAAGTATTTACTATATGGGCCATGGGCTACATGAACTGCAGACTAAGGCCCAAGATCCAAGTGACCTCTTTCAGAGACTGTGTCATGTTCATCTGTCTTACCCCTATCTCCCCACCAATACCTACTACAGGACAACTGGGTACAACATAGGTACTCAAGAAAAGTTTGTTAAATGAATGAATAAAATAAAGAGGGGAAGAGAAGATAAACTGTTGTTTTGTTCTTACTATCCTTCCAACCTAAACTTCATTCCTCTCTGATCTCTCCCCATTGCCTATCAGGAAAATGACAATAGTAAAAGCTAGCATTTACTACTCTTAGTAAGTGCTAAGTATTATGCTAAATGCTTTAGAAGGACTAGTTCATCTGATCTGCCCAATAATGCCATGAACTAGCCATCAGTATTAACCCACTTGACAGATAAAGAAATTGGGGCTCAGATACAGAGGTCGAGTCACTCACTGCCCAAGATAACAAGTTGGGGAGCTGGGATTCTAACCCAGGTAAACCACATTTGAAGCTGGTACTCTTGGGATGCCTGGGTGGCTCAGTCGGTTAAGCATCTGCCCACGGCTCAGGTCATGATCCTAGAGTCCTGGGATCGGGCTCCTTGCTCATCGAGGAGCCTATTTCTCCTTCTGTGACTCCTCCTGGTTGTGCACATGCACACTCTCTCTCTCTGACATAATAAATTAAATAAATAAATAAATAAATAAATAAATAAACAAACAAATAAAGTTGGCACTGTTAACCATGAGACTAGGCCACACTGCCTCCCTGATGTCCCTGTTCTTCAAAGCTAACCTACAGTATACACCCATCGTTCTAAGAGCTGCTCCCTGTCTTATGATTCCATGTGACTTCCCAGGATATCAGGCTGGGGGCTCAAGAGCACCCCCGAGTCCTCCAGTACCCATACTTCCACCTACCGCTTCTTGGCAATTTCATTCTGCCGCTTCACCTTCTCTTCCTCGAACTCCCGGATGTTGCGCACACCAATCTCCCGACAAAACTCTTCAAACACCTCATCCTCTACCTGAGGGGACAAGCGAGGGAGGGCAAAGGCCCTTTGGGTCAGAGTGCTGCTGCCAGCCCCGTCCTGCCCCACTGCATATGCTGGCATGGTTCAGCCCCTACGAACCTGGTTCATCTTCTCCTTCAAGTCTTTCATTTCCCTCTCACGACTCTGGATGATCCTCTTGATATCATTAATGCGAGGCCCAAAGTTGGCTAGCTCACTCTCCAGTTTGGACTTCTCCTGCAGGGAACAGGGTTGAGGGAAAAAAAAGAGACCAGGCTCCTTGAAGGAAAGAGCCACACTGAGCACACTGGGCCCTGGAGAGGAAGAGCTAGCTCTCCACATGCTGAGAAAACTTGGCTGAGAATTGCCCAGTAAATGTTCCATTATCTCCCACGTGAACCTTCGTACAGCTTCCTCCCTGGCCTCCCAGGGAGCCAGCTTCAATTCACAGTGCTGGGCACACAGTAAACATCGTCAATTATAGGTCCACACTCCCTTATCTGTAACTCTTGGAATTCAGACTTTTTGATTTTAGAAAAAGGTAAAAGGATATTTATACTACGTTTTACATAATGCCTCTAGGTTGGTCTCGGGAAGCACCCCATGATCAAACACATTAATGCACCTAGAAGAACTCCCACCCACAGAGACTGAAATGCCTGTACTTACTTTCAGTTCACTTTTCAAACGAGCTCAAATATCTGTTGAATGAATGATGCTAATAATAGCATCTAATATTTACTGAGCACTTACTGGGTTCAAGGAATCAGTCTAAGTACTTTACATGTATGAATTCCTTAAATCTTTGTAAGAATGGTATAAAGCAGGTGGTAATTCTAACTCCCATTTTGCAAACAGATGAAAACAGTATCAACTGACACATTAAGTAAGTTGCCTCCCATCATACAGAGGCAAGATCTGAAGCCTTGGCTGGCTGACTGATATGCTTGGTTTCTTGAAGCAGGCTGGGAGGAGGGAAATGGGACAAGTTCCCACTCCCCAGAGAAACCTTGGCGAGGAATGTGAGGGTAGCCTTTGGAGGACAGGGATGAAGGCCAGGCCCCACCTGTAGATTCAGGGCTAGATGTCGTGTCTTGGTCTGTTCCAGGTCACTCTGCGAGTACTTGAGTCGCATCTGCAGTCCGTGGGCCTGAGACTGCACCTGACGTAGCTCTGCCTCTTTCCGCTTTGCCTTCATCTGCTCCTGAAGTCGATGAGAGAAGGGGTAGGGGTAAGAAGGGGAATGGCTGGCCTGGCCTTAAGACTCCAACCCCTGGGGACAGTGAGCCTTTGACTTACTTTCAGCTCTTCTGTCAACCGCTCCTTCTTCTCTTTTAATTTATCCACTGCTTTCTCATCCCAGCGCCGAGCCTTGGCCTTCAAGTCACTGGCCCCACCAGAGATGACCCCTGACTTCTGGAACAGGGTCCCATCCAGTGCCACGGTCTACGCACAGTAGGGAAAAGAGAAAAGAAGAAGGGGAGAAGATGAATAGGAGATTCTTCAACACTAATGTGGACAAAGACTCTCCAGCTCCAATGTGGACAAGGGAATCCATACCTTGTGACGCTGGTGGCCTCCAAAGGCAATGCGGCGAGCATCCTCCACATTGTCACAGACGAGGGCATTGCCACAAGCATACTGCAGGGCCTTTTTGATGTGGGGTGGCTCATAACGAATCACATCAATCACCAGCTTGGCCCCCTTCAGTTCCCGGAGCTTCTCATCTGTAGGTTTCACCTATGGGAAACAGCTCAGTAAGTGGCAGAACATGGACGGCTAGGAGGAGGGGCCCTCTCACACTGTCCTGACCCCATCCCCACCAGCCTCACCTCCAGGTAATCAAGAGGCAAGAAGGTCTCAGGCTCCCCACGTTGTTCCTTGATGTACTGAATACAGTCCCGACCTGTCTTCTCGGAGTCCACGATAATGGCATCCATGTTCTTGCCCAAAACTTTGGTTACAGCAATCTGATACTTCTTTTGTGTGGGTTGACAGAGGTCAATGAGGCGGCCATACTGAGGAAAGTCAGAAGAGAAAACTGAAGCATGAGGCTTTTGGGAACTGGATCAAGAACCCTAATTCTCAGCTCAGAAAAGGGCAGACCAAAATCTGTGTGAGGAACGCAGCTTCCGTGCTATGGAGAAAAAGCCTACTCCGGCCCCATAAGCAACAATCACTTCAGTCATGCCTGAACCCCAAAAGCATCTTTCTAAACCTTACTTTTACCATTGCAAATTAAGTTGAATCCAGGGATGGAATTATAGCAATAGAGAGATAATATTCAGGGAACCTGGAAACTCAGTATTTGGCTCAAGAGGCCAAGAGCTCTGATAAAGCCTAGGATGTCCCTATAAGCAAATAAATCGGTTGGTACATGCCAAGGAAGATCATATAGAAGCCTGCAGTTACTTCCTAGGAGACTAATCACTATCCTGTAACCCCCCCCCACCCCCTTTGAAAGGCCTGCCCAGTTTCCCCACCTTCCAGAGAGGAGTGGACACAGCAAGACAAAACTTTCAGGAAGATGCAATTTGTGTGATGAAAAGAACATGAGGTCACGAGTTAGAACAAGCTGCGTTTGAACTGCAGTTCTTCCACTTATAAGCTGTGTTGTTTTGGGCAAGTCACTTAACCTCTCTGAGCCTGTTCCCCAAGCTGTAAACAGGGGATTAGCAACCCTGTCCTCACATGGCTGCTGTGAAAATTATCTGACAGTGAGTGGGAGAGTAAGTGCTCAGGAAATGAGTTCCCTTTCCGCTCTTACCACAGAGCCAGGGTACAGGCGCTTGATGCTTTCCATAATCTCTGCCTTTCGTTGCTGGCGGCTGCTCTCCTGTCGGTCAATACGGGCATCCCCCAGCTGTTCCATCACCTGATTCAGCTCTTTATTGATCTCATCAATACGCCGCTTCGCCATCTCCACCTCCTCTGTCAGCTCCCCCTCTAACTTCTTCTGCTCCTCTAGGGACTGCCTATAAAGGGAGGGAACACAGGGGTCACCCTGGCTGGTGAGAAAATACTTCTGGCTGAGAGGGACTCCAAAGATCCTGCTTGGGGAGAGGCAGGACATGATTCATAAGAACAGGCCTGGAAGTAAGAAGAAAGGCTGCAGAGCCACATACTTGCTAGTGGTGATGTATTCCTCTAGTTTCTCAATCCGTTTCTGATTCTCTTCAATCTCCCTCAGCTTTTGCTTAATCTTTGCCTGGAAGAAAGACAAATATACACCATGACCAGGGGCTGAGCAAGTTAACTCCAAGACCACGGGGCCCTGGCTTATATCAGCTATGTTCCCACTTATCCAAGAGCCCAACGGTTCAGGACAATCTGTTACTAATGTGGGAAACCTACTAAAAAGCAAACACACAACAGTGTTCAGTGTGTCTCTGCTAATTGATGGGCCTCCCAGAGCCCTGAGACTCTGATGTTCTGCCTAGTACAGGCTATCTTCCTCACCAATCAGGGAGGCTCAAACCAAGGCAAAGTAAAGCTTTCCAGGCCTTTCTGCATCTGTTTTCTCCTCTGTAAAATGTAGGCGACCTCCACTTCAGAGAGCACACATTAGATGCTTAACACAATATAGCTATTAGTATTAATGCCCACCACTTTCTTTCAGATCTTCAAAGAAAGTGCTTAGCAGAATGCCTGAAACATTGTAGGCTCTTCTTACGGCACTATGACAACGATTAATTGTTATTATTTCACTACTATTGTTATTAGGAAGGCCGTGAGCAAGGTATACTTGGTAAAAGTGTGGGTTTTAGAGCTAGACTACCCAGGTTCATATCCTGTTTCTGCCCCTTCATAATGATATGACCTTAGGCGAATTATTTCAGGCCTGCACTACTGTTTCCTCATTTGGGAAATGAGGAATTAAATGAGTGGATACACGGAAAATATAGTGCCTATCACACAGTAAGTGCTCACTAGTCGTTAGCTATTATCATTACTGTTAAGACTACCATCACTTCTTTTTCTCTGGCCCATTATCCCTCATCTTATAACACATGCCCACCTCTGTCTCTACTTTCTTCCGCTCTTCCAGATCCAGCCGGTCCTGGTCAGCCTTCTGATCTCTATTGAACTTCTCCAGCTCCTGGGCCAAGGTAGCTGCTCTCTTGCTGGCTTCTTCCTTTAATCGGTGGTATTTCTTCACCTTTGTTAGGAACAACCAACCAAATCAGTCTCCGTCAGCAGAGCAATCTCCCATCCCATCCCCAACCCTCCCAGAGCTTACCTGATTCTCCTCCAAGGTCAGGTCTCTGCCCTGACTCTGACTCTCCTCTTCCATCCGTTCCTCAAACTCCTGCCGGGCTTTCTCTACTGACAGCATCTCCTTTTCCAGCTCATCCATGTCACCTTTACGCTTCTTGTAATGCTTCTGAGCATTCTGCAGGGACTTCTTGGCTGCTTCCAGCTTCTTGATTTTGTGGGAGGTATTCTCCTTAGCTTTGATGTACTGAGGCCGCTTCTGGTTCAGCTCTGAGTCCTTCTCCCTTTTGCCAGAGGGGAGAAGAATAAATCAGTTAGTAGTGTGGGAGAAGGGATGATTCCCAGGCTTTTTACCCAAAGAGGGGCCTGAGGTCTCTAGCCAGCCTCGGGGAATTGCCTAAAGAACAAGGGCCTGATGCTGCCCAGATCCTCAGAAAAGGGGCACTCTGACTACTCCCTGCAACTGATGGCTTCAGCCTGACATTCCAGCCACTCTGTAAGGTAAAGCTACCACTCTTGCCTCAACTCTAGTCAAGCCATGCCCTTCAGGAACAACTACCAAGAATGCCCTGTGTCCATTTAGTTGCCCCCATCTAATCTAACCTTTTCAAATTCCTGACCTTTAAACTTCTAGCTCCAGATTTCCTCTTCCAGGAAGGCATTCCCAGCCACTTTAGTAGCTGGGCCCTCCATCGGCTTCCTCTCACTTGCCAAGGTCACCACCCCTTTTAAGTCCTCTCTTTTATGAGTACTCATCTACCCAGAGTCTGAGTACTTAAATGCTCTATTTGTCTAAAATGCAAGTTAAGAAATGTGCTTGGTTCTGGCCAAAGCAAGTCAAGAGGAAGAAAAACTACTGCGAGCACTGGACTCTAGGCTCAGAGGAGCCCTAAGAAACAGCACAGCCTCTTGGTTTCCCACAAGTTGCAGGCCCAGGCCTGCCTCTTACTTGATCTCCTTCTCAATCTGTTGCTGCTCCCGCATCATTTTGCCCAGCTCCTTCTTCTTCTCCTTCAGCTCATCCTCTACCTTGTCCATTCGCTTCTTGTCCTTCTCGATCTCCTTGTTCTTAGAGGCCAGTTCCTTATTGAGCTTCTCAATTTCCACTTCGTTGTGATAGAGCTTAAAGAGCTGCAGCTGCACCTGAGCTCGCACCACCTCATCCTTCAGGCGCTGGTAGCGGTCAGCCTGTGTAAACAAGGGCATGGAAGCAAGGGTGAGCAGTGAGGTACTGGCTCCACCCCGGCCCCTCAGAGACCACAGGCAGCCTGGCCACCTACCTCTTCTTTCTCCTGTTTGGCCTCCTTGCGTTCAGCCGCAATGTTTTTTTTGCGATGGTAATTAAACTGTGTGTCCTCTTCGGCCTTCACCATTTCCTTCTTTCGCTTATCATATTCCTGGGCCAGCTCCCCAGAGCGACTGATCTCTTCAAATAGAGCTGTCCTCTCTTTGGGGTTCTTCATGGCAATAGATTCCACAGCACCCTAGTAAAGGTTAAAACACTCTCCCCGCTTAGAGCCTACTCGGCCCAGTTCCCTCCACCCATTTCCACTCAATCATTCAGAAAAAGGTCACTGACCCCCTCCCTGCACTAGGTGCCATATTTCACACTGGGCTTTAAGGACATATTCCCTGCCTCTTGACGTGCACAGGAAGCAAAAGGGACAAAAGCAAAGACAACACTGTGTGTCACGTGCAGCGACAAAAGGACTAAAATAAGCTTGTGGGTAGGAGACTGGTAGGGGTATCTATCCAGAAAAGCTTCTCAAAGATGACATCTAAGCTGAGTTTGAAAGATGGAGAAGAACTAACCAAAAAAGTTAAGAGAGAAGGTTATTTCATGTAAAGGACAATTAATATGCAAAGCCCTGCTGGCCAAAGAAAGCAGGTGAATTGTGGGAACTATAATGGTTTAACTGGGCTGGAATGCAGGGTTGGAAGGATAAAGTACTGGCAGATGAGGGTCTAGTGAGGGGGGCAAGAACCAAAAAATGTGTCCTGAATGACAGGAGTTTGGAGTTTATGCTAAAGCAATGGTTCTCCAACTTCAGCATGCATAATAACCTGCAAAGCTTGGTAAAACACCCAGTGCTGGGCCCCACCCTATAGCATCTACGTCATAGGTCTGGGATGGAACCAGAAAATGTGCATTTCTAACGTGTCCCCAGTTGATGCTGATCCAGAGACTACAATTTGACAACCACCTCATAAGGCAATGAGAAATCACTGAAATGCTTTAAGGAGAAAAAGGAAAGAAACAGATGTGCCTTCATAAGATAAACCTAGCCTAAGAGATGAACTGGAAGGGGCCAGACTGGAGTCAGTAAGCCCAGTGAGGAAGCTGCTACATTAGTTCAGGGAAGAGATAAAGCTTAAGATGGAGCTCTCCTGCTGAGGTTGGGACAAGGCTCAGCAAACATCAGATAGCTAATAACCACTAAAAATGCTCACCTGGAAGACAAGGAAGTTACGAGCTTTGATGAGAATGCCCAACTTCTCTAATTCCTCACTGTATTCGTGTAGCTGGACAACTTTGTTGTTGATCTTGTACTCAGAGGAACCCCCTACAAGACAGTGCATGAATTGGCTGAAGGTCAGACCTCCCTCCTGTCCCAGCCAACTAGTCTAGTCACCTCCCAGCGCCCATGGGGAGCCTTCTGGCCAGCCTCACCCACCAACAATGACACGGGCAAAGGTGCGATCCTCAGCACCCTCCTCAGAGTAGACCATGCTGACAAAGGCCCGGTTGGCAGCTGGCTTGCCCACAGGAGCTCCGTGGATCAGGTCCCTCAGCGTCTTTACTCGCAGATTGCTGGTTTTCTCACCCAACACAAAGCTGATTGCATCCATGAGATTTGACTTACCTAAAGGAGTAGGGGGTAAAGAAAAGGAGGGGAAGTCAGGAAACACTGCTCTGCCCCACCAAAGCCTTGGTTCAACAGCTTGGAAAAACAGTCCCTATGCAGTTATTACCTAGAACAGTTAAAAACTAGAACCCCAACTAAGGAAACAGCATATTCATACAATGGATTGTTCTATAACTTTTAATGACATAGGGAAACGCCCACAATAGAAGAAATAAGCAGATATAAAAGTCAATAGAGTCAATCTCAACCAAGTTTAAAAGTAAACAACAAAACAAAACCAACCAAGAGCTGAGGGAAGGTAATAATGGGAAGTTGCTGTTTATTGAATACAGTTTCAATTTTGCAAGATGAAAACGTTAGGATCAGTTGAACAATGTGAAGATACTTAACACAAGATCTACCTTCTGGTTTATGGGAAATATAGCAGGTAGAGGAACACAGTAAAGGACACCATAAGGAAATCCTAAGACAGAGAATCTGGAATGCTCTCCAAGACAACTAGCCTGACCCTTTCAAAAAGCCAATGTTTAGGGGCACCTGGGTGGCTCAATCAGTTAAGCATCCAACTCTTGATTTCAGCTCAGGTCATGATCTTAGGGTTGTGAGATCAAGCCCTATGTCCCAGCGTGGCTTCCCGCTTAGCGGGGAATCCACTTCTCTCCCTCTGCCCTGGCTTCCCTACACACCCCCATGCACACATGCTCTGTCAAATAAATAAATAAATCTAAAAAAAAAAAAAAAAAAGTCAATGTCTAAAAAGAAAGGTTTGGAGAACCACTCCAGAAAGCAATTACTGAGAAACAAGCAAAGGCAGTGCACAAACTTTGACTAGATTCTGGTTTCCCTTCAACAACAACAACAGCAGCAATAAAAGACATTTTGGGGAGCAATTAGGGAAGCTTGAAAATGAACTAGATAATTAGATAACAAGGAAATTAGTTTTCCCAGTTGTGATCATGGTCTAGTGGTGACACAGGAAAACAATGATTTTAGAGGAGTCAAATGCTGAGTCCCGAGAAGTGAAATGTCATTAAGTCTGCAACTTACTTTCAAATGATTAAACAAAAACACACATGTAGGTTTGAATATTTTCATAATAAAAACTTGGGGAGAGGCAAGGACATAGGAAAAAATACATGAAAATGTAAACAGTGTTACCAGGGGTTGCTTCCCAAATGGAAAATTTGGGGATTTTTTGGTAAAAGTCAGGGAAGGGAGTCTTTTTACTGTCTATCCTTTGAGATTCTTTTGAATTCTATATTGTGTGCACGTGTCAGCTATTCAAATAAATAGGATTTTTAACATTAAGAGTGGCTATCTTTGGGACACCTGGGTGGCTCAGTTGCTTAAGCATCTGCCTTCAGCTCAGGTCATGATCCTGGGATCCTGGTCAGGGTCCTGGGATGGAGTACCGCATTGGGCTCCTTGCTCAGCGGGGAACCTACTTCTCCCTCTGCCTGCTTCCGCTGCTTGTGTTAGCTCTCTCTCTGACAAATAAAATCTTAAAAAAAAAAAAAAAAAAGAAAGAGCAGTTATCTTTTCAATAGTGGAGTCACAATTGTTACTGTCTTCATTTTAGGCTCAGGTAAAAATTTTTTAAATTCAGACTGGGGCTGGGGGGTGGGGAACAAGCTAATCTCTATAAATTCTATCTCAAGATTCTCCCTTAACATGTTATATGACCTTGAATTGAGGACCTAATTTCCCACACCTTTCTACCCAGCTATACAAATGGCAGCCTTGCTCCTTCCACAGAGACAGTACAAGACAGTGATTAAGAGCTCGGGTTCTGGGGCACCTGGGTGGCTCAGTGGGTTAAAGCCTCTGCCTTCGGCTCAGGTCATGATCTCAGGGTCCTGGGACCCAGCCCCACATGGGGTTCTCTGCTCAGCAGAGAGCCTGCTTCCTCCTTTCTCTCTGCTTGCCTCTCTGCCTACTTGTGATCTCTGTCAAATAAATAAATAAAATCTTAAAAAAAAAAAAAAAAAGAGCTCACATTCTAGGGGCGCCTGGGCTCATTTGGTTGAGTGTCCCACTTCTGATTTAGGCTTAAGTTGTGATCTTGGGGTGGTGGGATCGAATCCCATGTCAGGGTCTGTGCTCAGTGGGGAATCGGCTTGTCCCTCTCCCTCTGCTCCCCACTCCCCCGCCCCCACTCTCTCTCAAATAAGTAAATAAAATCTTAAAAAAAAAAAAAAAAAAGAGCTCGGATTCTAGTCCAATAGATCAAGTTTTTAGTTTCACTAATTCTTAGCTACCTTCCATTCCCTCAACTGGAAAATCTAAAAAAATGACTGATAGAGCCTTTAAAATAAAATTTAAAAAAAAAATGCTTGGCACACAGTTCTCCATTGAAGTGGCAGAAGCACACGCTTTGAAGTATGACAGGCACAGTTTCTGACCCTGGCTCTGAGAATCAGTTAGTGCGCAAGTGATCGTAACTGTTTATGCCTCAGTCTTCCCACCTATAAAACCAAGATAATTAAATTCTCATTTCAAGAATTTAAATGTAAAAGGTTCCAGTAAATAAAGTACCTGACACACAGTGGTGCTCAATAAATGGCAGTCCTATCCTAACACAGGTCTGGACTCTTAGCTTCGCCTCCCTTATCAGAACAGTACTAACACAACAAACAGACCAGGAGTCAGACTTTGAAGCATCCACTCCCAACTTCTGGGCTTTTCCCATGCTCTCCAGGATAGTAAGAACGTTTCACAACCAAAGCCCTCCCTACTAGCAATCATTCAATACTGTAAACATTTTTTAACATGCCTTATGAGCTGAACACTGATAAAATGTTTTAAGGAAAGTCTTCTTGGGGGGGCACTCATAAAACAGTGATGAAAATACAAAAACATATCCCATGAATACAAGACAGAAAAAAATAAACTTTAACATGTACCAAGTGTCTACTGTGAGCCAGAGAAAAGTAATTCACTGAGGGTGCCCAAGAAATGGCCTGTGGAGGTGGGCACTGAAGAAGCTGGGGCGGGGGCGGGGGAGGGGAATCCAGACTAAGGGTCTTTTTGGAACAGCTGGGTATACAAATCTACCCATGGTGAGAGGAGTGGATGCCAAGAGATGTATTCTGGCTCTTTCCACAGAGGCCACCACACCAAAATCCTAAGAAACTGGAGTGGAACCCCAAGCATTAGCCCTCGAGGTCAATGGTTCTCAAGCGTCTCAAGCGAGGTTCGGGGAAGCAGGGGTGATTTGCCCCACCTCCCAGGAAACACTGGCAATGTCTGGAGACACTTCTGGTTGTCACACCTGAGGGGCGGGGGTGCTACCAAAGCCAAGGATACTGCTAAACATCCTACAACACACAGGACCAACCCCACAGCAAAGAATTATATTTCTAGAAATATCAACAGTGCTGCTGTTTAGAAACCTAACTCTACAAAGAGCACCAAACTCCAGAGAAGGTTCATGAGTTGGAGATAAGTCAGCAAGGGCAGTCCCTCCTCTCATGCTAGGAAATGATTTAGCTAGAACATCTCTGGGGTAGGGGAACACAGCAGGATTCCAAACAGACTGCGTGTGGGGGTAGATGGGAAGAATACATAGTGTATTATTTACTTTAAAAAAAAAAAAAAAAGTAGGCTCCATGCCCAGCATGGAGCCCAACAGGGGGCTTGAACTGACCACGCTGACATAAAGACCAGAGCTGACATCAAGAGTTTAACTGCTGCTTAACCGACTGAGTCACCCAGGCGCTCCAACAGCCTATCATTTAGGAGAGTTAAGACAGGAAATAGGTTATTTGACCTATCCTGACCACCCTTCCCCCAACCCCCAGTTTTGTTGAGATATAACTGACATACAACATTGCATTAGTTTCAGGTATACAACATAATGATTCCATATTTGCATATATCAAGAAATGTTTACCACAGTAAGTTAACATCCATCACCTCACATAAACAATTTTGTCCTTGTGATGAGAACTTTTAAGATCTATTCTCTCAGCAACTTTCAAATACACAATACAGTATCTACTGATCGCTCTTTCTAAAGACCTCACCCAAGTCACTGCATCCCATCAATCTAATTCCCTGTATAGCATTTATCACAGCCAAAAACCGTCTTATTTTCTCCTTATTACTGTCTTTTCCCTCTGGAATGCAAGTCCCCTGAGAGTAAGGTTTACTCTACTCTCCGCTGTTTCCACAGCACTTTGAACAACTCCTTATAAAACGGTAAGCATTCAATATATTTAGCGAGCGAATGAGGTCTTTAAATGGTTTCAGTGGTAATAAAGGGGTTATTTCGAACTACCCCCACCTCTAAGATGGAGGTGGAGGGTGGATACCCCAAGCACTCCCGCTGGAGACGGGAGCGCTGGGTCAAAAATTCAAAAGTGCCGCCTCCGGAGAAAAGTTAAAAAAGGAGGAATTGGAGCATACCAATGCGAGGCGGGCGGGGGCGCTTAGCTGAGGGAAAAGTATACCGCTGGGAACCGGAGGCCTTGGGAGGGCTACCAGCAGTCCCACACTTTCCGGGGAGTTCAAACAAGGCAGGGGAAGTAGCCAGACCCAGCTGGTCCGGCTGGGAACTGCCCGGCCCGCGGCCGGCGGACAAACTCCGGACGCGCCACTTTTGGCGGGAGGGGGCAGTGGGCGGGGTAACGTACAGTTCGGCCCGTACCACTCGCTCAGGGGCGGGGGCCGCGCAAAGAACAGACAAGTGACACTTGGGGAAGAGGTTCGAGTCAGAGCACCCGAGCGGGAAAAGCGGGTTCGGCCTGAGTCCGCTCCGGAGGGAAAGAAACCTGTGGGGGTTCGCGACATTTCAGGTCGCACGGGCTGGGCTGTACTACTCTGCTACCGGATTAGGGGGTCCAGGCCGGGACGCGCGCAGGGCCGCAGCCTGGTTTATCTTACCAGAGCCATTGGGTCCAATGATGGCGGTGAACCTCTGAAACGGCCCGATAATCTGCCGACCCTTGTACGACTTAAAGTTCTCGATCTCAATCAGTTTCAGGAAACCCATGACGGCGACGGCGCCGGCGGCGGTACAAAAGGCCGCGCCGTACGCCCGGGGAACTGGGGTAGCCCGCGCGGGAAACGCCGCAGTGCAGGCCGGGCTTACGACAAAGCTCGCGAGAATAAGTCCAGGCCTAACGGGATTTCCGGCTTCCGGCGAGAGCGGAACCAGGGGCGTGTCGTGGAAGTTTTGTTGATCCGTTGCCAGGGCGCGAGCTTAAAGCCTGACTTTGGGTCCGCCCCCCTTTCTTGTTGCGTGGCAACGCAAACCGCTGACCCTGCCTACCTACCCTTAGAGGAGGTAGCGACGGAGGATGCTGCCCCTTTTGGGATCGGATGAAGCAGGCGGGACTGGAGACCACGCTTGCTGAGACAAGTCACAGCAGGGTTATGCCCTCCAGGGCAAGAGGAAGGTGGGAGCTTGTCTGTGGCTTTAGCCTGGCCGGCTGCAAGGTTCAAACAAGAACAGGGTCGGGGATTGGAAGGACCCCCGCGAGCTAGGGCTGTAAGGGAAGGAGGGGCCGGCGGGAGGATTTGGTGTTAGGGGAACTCAGACCAAGTTGAGGGTAAAGTAGGGTTGGAAGTGCAGTGGAATGGGCGTAGGGATGGGGTGCGGTGGGAAAGGGGCTGGGGTGAAAAGGGGAATGGAGTGTGAAGGGAGATGAGGGTACTCTGGAGCGGCAGGGTCGCGGGCTGGGGAAAGCTATGGCCATAGGTAATGCCTCTATCCCCTGCCTCCCTCCTTTTTCTCCAAGCAGAGTTCAGACACTGTTGCTGTAGCCTAACTATAGCCTTGGACCTGAGCCACCCAACCTAGGAGCTTCAAAATTGACAATCGTTGCTAAGCAAGGTATTTTGTGTGAACCCCCGGCAGTCAGTGTCCCTAAGCCACTGCTCTCCACCTCCATTCTCCTTCCTATCTCGCCATTTTATTTCTCTCTCCTCATGCTTCATCCCCACCCCACTTCCTCCTCTCCATCCCACTCTGCCCCCCCTCCTTGCTTTCCTCCTTCCCCTTCTCTTGCTCTCTGTCCTCCATTCCTGTCTACTACCCTGTTTGGTTCCTTCCTCTTTCCTTTTCTGCCTCTCCCCTGCCCACCCCCTCTCTGCCCCCGCAGTCCCTTTCCCCTCTCTGTTCTAGTATTTTCTATCCTTCTCCTTCATACTTTTATCCCCCTATCTCCTTAAACCACCTGCTCATTACAAGGTCATGGCTTTAGCAATCCAAGAAGCTTAAAACATCTGCCACATCTTCCCCATCATTGACCTTATATTGTGGTGACAAATGGAATGAGTTGGCTGGAGTTGGTGCTTAGACTTAGATGTGGAAAGGATCTGGTGGTTGCCAAAGCCATTCCTGAAACCAGGTTTAAAACGGTTTAAAATGGTTTAAAAATGACATTTGGAGACTGGGAAGAGTCTAAAAGTCTAATGAGAAGTCCAGGAATGTAAGAAAGCTTGGTTGATGGTATCTAGTAGAGGAACCATAAATGAATTCAACTGGGAAAAACAGTCACAATCAGGCTAGGGGGACAAAATGACCAAGGGACAGCAATCTCATATAATTGACAGGAACTAGTGTTCCATTTAAAAAGATGAGATGGAACTTGGAAAAAAATCAAATTGGATCCCTTCCTCTCACACTGTATATAAAGTGCAATTCTAAATGGATTAAAAACTTAAATGAGAAAGGCCAAATTCTAGACATTTTCCAACATACAGTGGAATATGACCTCAGGGGATTTCTTAAATAATGAAAACTCCTAAGCTTAAAGGAAAGGATTGCTGAATTTGACTACATTTAAATTCATCCAAATTACAGCATGAAGAAAGTGAAAAAATGGGTAGGTGCACACAGAAAACTTCTGGAGTATTGATAATGTTTTATTTTCTGGCTTCTGCAGAGGGTTCACAGGTGTTCATTTTGTTGTGCTTCATAACTTATGAGTAAGTTATGTCATGTAAGTTACTTCATAACTTACATGAGTATTAACCATACTTTTTCTGTATCGACTGTTACCATAAAATAATAATAAAGTGAGGGGGCACCTGGCTGGCTCAGTCAGTAGAGCATGTGATTCTTGATCTCAAGGTCATGAGTTCAGGCCCCACACTGGGCATAGAGCTTACTTTAAAATTAAAAAAATAGGGTCATCTGGGTGGCTCACTTGGTTAAGGGGCTGCCTTCAGCCCAGGATATGGTCCCAGGGTCCTGGGACAGAGCCCTGATTTAGGCTCCTTGCTCAGCAGAAGTATGCTTCTCCCTCTCCCTCTGCTTTCCACTCCCCCTGCTTGTTCTGTCTCTCTCCCTGTCAAATAAAAAAGTAAAATATTTAAAAATAAATAAATATTATTTTAAAAACAATGAAATGAAAAGACAAGTCACAAATTGGAGGTGTTTACCACATTTATTTTTTAAAGATTTTATTTATTTATGTATTTATTTGCCAGAGAGAGAGAAAGAGAAAGCATGTGCCCAAGAGCACAGGCACCGGGAGGGGCAGAGGGAGAGAGCCCGACTTGGGGCTCAATCCCAGGCCCCTAGGATCACAACCTGAGTTGAAGGCAGGGACTTAACTGACTGAGCCACCCGGTACCCCTCTTTGCCACATTTAAACTAAGAAATGATTAGTATGTAAAATACATAACTCCTAAAATTAATAAGAAAAGGACAAGCAACTTGATTTTAAAATAAACAAAAGGTATCAATGAGCACTTCACAGAAGAGTAATAAAAAATGGTCAAAACACACATGTGCAATCTCACTAGCAATAATGATAATTCCAATAAAAATTGGTAATTATAATTTTAAACTCACCAATCGGCAAAAATTAAAATCTGCCATACCAAGTATTGCCGAGGATATGGAGCTACTGGAGTTTTTATACACTATGGTGAAAGTGTAAATTGGTAAAATCTCCTTGGAAAACAACATTATCTTGTAAAGTCAAGTACGCCTATGCCCTGTGATTAGCACTTGCACTCCTAGGTATCTGCTAGAGAAACTTTCCCACCTGTATATATATTTCTTTAAATCTACATGTTCTTTCTCCCTCTCTTGCGGTTAAAAAATAATAAACTGGGTTGTTTGTGCGGAGTCCTTGTCTCTCTTGAGCTTACTTTGGTCAGGTTTTCATCCCCACAGCCCCACCAGAAATGTTTCTGTTAAGGTCATCAGCATCCCTCCCATTACTAAACCTGTCAGTTCTCAATCCTCATTTTAACATATCCTCAGTTGCTCACTCTCTCTCAAAAGCTTCTCAGACACCACACTCCTGGGTTTCCTCCCACCTCACCAGACACTCCACCTGTGTCTCCAGTGCTGACTCCTCCTCCTCTCCCCATCTTCCCTGGGGCATTCTTATCCACCATCTATGCTTACTCCCTTACAGATCTCGTACAGCTTTATAGCTTTAAATTCCTTTGTATCAGTCAAGATAAGCTAAATTATGCTGAGGTTACAGACAACCCCCAAATCTCAGCAGCTTAGAAAAACAAGGATTCTCACTCGTGTTTCTCGTCTGATGTGGGTTGGCTACATCTCTGCTCTATGTGATCATCCCAGAACCAAGACTGAAGGAGCAGCCCTTAGCTGGGCACTGCCAGTCTCATAGCAGAGAGTGAAGAGGAAAAAGGGGGCGAGGGGCAGTTACATCATGGCTCTTAGGTCTGTTTGGGAATAGCGCATGTCAATTCTCCCACAGCAGAGGGCAAAACCAACCACGTGCCTAAGATTGAGGGCAATGAGATATGGATGTATAGCCTTCTGGTGGGAGAAGTAGCAGATCTTTTGGACTAACAATAAAATTCACTGTACCATCTGTCTGTTATCAGTGGCTATGTAATAGGCGTCTCCAACTCAACACTTCCCAAACTGACCTCTTGATCCTACCCTCCCCCCCGCCCCATCCCATACTGTTGTCCCTACACAGACTATTTAGTTGATAGCAACTCCATCCCTCTGATTGCCCCAGCTCAAATCTTTGAAGTCATTCTTAATACTGTTTTCATATTGCACATCTGATCCATCAGGAAGTCCTATTGGCTCTACCTTCAAAATATATCCAGAATCTGACCACTTCTCATGATCTCTGCTTCTAATAACCTGGTATGAGTCACCATCATCTCTTGCCTGGACAGCTGCAATAGCCTCCTGTCTGGTCTCCCTGCTTCTAGCCTTGCCTCTGGTCCCCTCAGTCTATTCACACAGTAGCCAGTCTATTAGACACCAGTCTATTCACATAGCAGCCATCATTCCCATGCTCAAAACCCTCCAGTGGCTGCCATTACTCTCAGAGTAAAAGCCACAGCCTTTAACGTCCTACGTGCTCTGTCCCCCCTATTATCTCTCTAATACCATTTCCTACCTACCTCTCCTCCACTCACTTGCCTCCCTGTTGTTCCCCTGAATGTGTGCCTTTTGTGTCCACCTTAAGGCCTTTGTACTTGTTCCTCTGCCTGGAGTGTTCTCTTCCTGGACATTTGCCTGGGTGACTCCTTCACCTTCAAGTATTTGCTCCAATATTACCTTTTCAATTATGCCTTCCCTGGTTTCCACATTGAAAATTGCAACCCTTCCCATTTCCTTGGTGCTTCCAAGTCCCTTTATTCTGCTCTATATTTTTCCCCATAGCACTTACCATCTTCTTACAAACTCTTTAATGTACTGTTTATTGTCTCTCTGACCCCACTAAAAAGTAACCTCTACAAAGACTCAGATTCTCTTCAGTTTCGTTCTTTGATGTCTCCCAGCTGCTTAAAGGAGTGTCTTGACAGTAGGCACTCCATAAATATTTGCTAAATGATAGAATGAACATATGTGAAAAAAAGTAAGATGAAGAAAAATGCATACTACATAATACATTATAAAGTTCCAAAACAAGAAAATGTTTCAAAATATTGTCCAGGGAGTCCTGTACATACACAGTGTATTTTCTTTGTTTTTTTACATTTATTTATTTTTTTAATTTGAATTCAATTAACATATATTATTGGTTTCAGAGGTAGAGGTCAGTGATTCATCAGTCTTACATAATACCCAGTGCCCATTACATCATCCAGTTACCCCATCCCCCTCCCTCCCTCCCTCCCAGTAAACCCT